GAAGAAAAACCCCAAAACACAGTTGTGATGATAGTAGAAAAGCATCTGCACAGAGAATTGCAAGCAAAGTTGAAATGAAGGAACATCAGGAGATAGCCACTTTCCTTTTTCCCTAGACTTTGCTGTTGTTTTTTCCTGCACCAAATGCATATAAAACTTCGCAGTGTGATAACTGGGTTGAAAGCACTAAGTGTTAATCCCCAGTACTGTTAGGAAGGTCCTGTAGAAGACTGCTGTAACATTCCTATGGGCATTAAACAGTCCTTATATCCTTGGAGTTAGAGCACATACGGCATTCTCCTGGCCTAAAGTTTCCCATTTTTCTCTTGCTTTCATCCATGTCACCACAATGTATACCTTGCACTGTGCCTATTTCACAGCTCTGATTCTCCCTCATTTGTGTAACAGCATGACATATGCTTTCCACTACCCACAAGAGCCCTGCATCCTTCACTGAGCTGGGATGGTACACCAGAGTGATGTCCAGCCCAGATCCTGTCCTCACACTACTATGCCAGTGATTCAGGAGCAAATCCCTGGAGCAGTTCCAGTGTAAAATAAGCACAATTAAGTTGTAAACACCCACTGCCTGCTCAGGGCACCATCACAGAGCTTCATGCCTAGCAAAGGCATTTACATCTGCACAAAGCTGGAAGGTGTCAAATGCTACTGTCACAGCTGACCATCTGTCCATACATCACACCCACTCTGCACAAGTGCAGGTGGCCACAGAGGAGTGGGTGTCTTGGTGTTGCCAAGCCCTGCTCACTGCAGATTGTACAAGGAGTATTCTTCTCACAACATTGATTCTTTTGGATTGGTTTAGCAGTGTGCTTGACCAGAGTGCCCAATGTCTGCTGTGACATCCAGTTGTGCTCCTTGAGATGCTGCTCTCCTATTCAAATTCCCTTTGCTCTAAACACTCGTTCATCATTCATCATGGGAGATTCTTCCTGACACAAGGTGGTGGCATATGGAGGGCCAGAGTGAGAACAAACACAATGTGCTGCTTTATTGCTTAAAATCAGAGCCCTTTGCCTTTCCTTTCCCAAAGGCATGAGGTAGAGTTACATCTAACTTAAAGAAGTTTCTAGGTCCGTTTTGATAATCATCTGAGAAATTAATGTGATTTATATCATCAGGTGAGAAGTTGAGAAATGCAGCTACCATTATATGGCACCTTTTGCAGTAACTAGACTGATGCTAAGCTCTGCATCCTCTCTACTTGCTTCCAGCAGCTGTTTTCAGACCACTTTATAGCTGTTGTTTTACATCTTCAGTCATCTCCTGTGCCTTCCTGAGTACAAATTACACCTTAGGGGAACAGTTCAATTGCTACTCATTTTACTACTCAGGTGGCAACCTGTATATCATGTGGGAACCTGATGGATTTTGGGGCAAGGTGTAGCTCCAAAAGATGATTGCTCTTCCCTGATGTGGTTGCTCTTCCCTGTCACACCTGGTGTGCCTCTGCTTTCTCCCACCCCAGGCAGCTGCAGAGACAGAGAAGCTGAGTATGCTGGAAGGGAGCAGAGATCCCCATGGTAATTGGAAGTGAGCAGGAAATAGGTGTGCTCCCTCTTATAAAACTCAAGAGAAACTAGGGAAAAACAATAGCAAGATGAAGAGAAGGCATGTCTAGCGTGGTGTGTGAGGATCTCAATCAGACTATGAGCAGGCATGCCCTGCAAGTGGGAAGAAGGCACTGACACTTCAGGGTGAGCCAGCTCCAGGAGACAAGATTCTGCTGTGGATCCCCAGCCCAAAGGGCAAGAGGCAAGCAGCGATAGGGTCAAGAACAAGGATGCTGAAGCCCATATTTAAGAAGCAATGGGAACCATGGTCTGATGGCAACAAAGCATTTTTTTGCCTAGTCAAAGTCTCATGTGAGAAGAATACATATACCAGGTGAGATATGGGACCTAGGAGTGCATCTGGAATGAACTCAACAGAGCCTGAGCCTTGAACCTATTTGTGTGGCACTAGGATTTATAGAGTGATTTGTATAAAGCACTCTTGTGTCTGACACTTAAGCACCAAGACACACCTTAAACTGAGTCTCTTACCTCCTATGCTATGTTTAAATGAAATTATATGTCTTTATTTTTAGTTACCACACTGAGAACTAAATCCTGCTCCTTTCTATACATGGTTTCTCCTGTGAAATAGGAATGTCTAGTTCACAAGTCTATAAATGTCAATTGTAGATCTAGCAGAGACTTCACTTGTGTCCTGCCACAGTGCCAAGTTCAGCAGGTCAATGGCTTTTTTGCACTGGTAATATTCTACCTATCTTCTACCCCTACCATAAATAATGCAATGAATTGAGAAGAAGGTATCGGTGATTTTTCTGTTATCCTACCCACTCATACTAGTCAATGCTAATGGTTTTGAATTGCTACAAGCTGTGCTTGAGGTGGTTTAATTTTGTTTATGGTGGAAGAATTTACCTGGACTGTGGTGTGGTTTGGTGGCATAATTCAATCCTTGCTTACGTATATGGAATTTCCATTATTGACAGTAGGGTTGTACATGTGCTGCCTGTAGGACTTTTTAGTGCTTCAGAGAGTTTATAATCACACAAGACAAAGACAAGAAACTGTCTTTCTGTCATGGTGACCACCTCCATCTTTCCAAATATACCTTTTGTTATAGTGGCCTGAGAACAGCCTAAACAAACTTTTCCTTTCTCTGACATGTTTCTTCAAAATTAATTTATTTTTGCACTGCATTCTTGTACACCTAATTTCAAATGGTCTAACTTCAGATTGTCAATGCCTACAAACTCATTTCAAGATTAGGACACGAAATCTGTCTTATTACACTGCTAGATGGACACAAGCAGCACTTCAAAGATGCATCAGCAGCAGAGCTGTCTCCAGAGCACATTTTGGTCATGTAGAAGTCAGGAAAACAGCATCAGTCTTCACCACTATAACTTTTCAAAGATTGAGAATTAAACCTTGCTCTCGCTCCCCTTTTTCCCTGTTGCCCAGGACTGATCTGTTTCAAGTATTCATAAACAGCAGATTCCAGCATGATTCAATCTGTTCTGGAAAAAAATTGCAAAACTCTTGATTTGGCGCTTTTTTCTGGTTATTGTTAAGATGATGAATATAATTATTGTTATTGTAAAGTATTTCATGTATTCTTCATGAATATTCTTCTTTCATGTCAGTTTACACAGGCATGAGGGAGACTTTTCAGTACTTCATAACACCAAAATAGGAGAAACAGTAAATGCCAGGCTCTCTAGTGCCGCTAAGTGGGCTTAATGCACAATAAGATGTAGGACTGCAAAATATGTAGGATTTGACCACAGAGCTGGAGTGTGTGTGGAAATTGCTGCCATTCCCATGGTGTGTTACTTGCTGGGCAGCCTGTTTGCGTGACCCAGGAATCCCCTCCAAGCTGCAGCAAGCCCCCTGCTGCCAAAACTCCCTGGTATGAGCCTGACCTTCTCCTCTGGTATGTGGGACTGAGCAACACCATATGTGAACGTCAAAAGAGGATAGATTAGGAAGAAAGGACTTCCTAAGATTTTAAACCCTCTAGACTTAACACCACATCAGGCGAATGCCAAAGCCCCAGGTAACTCAGAGGAACAGTGGCAACATCTAGTGGCCATTGAAGCTATAGGTCTGTACTGTCGGGGAATAGCCTCGTCTTTCCTGCATGCCGCACACTTCCCTGCTGTGCTCTTTGCTGCACATTCTCCTTCCATCGGGTATGATTGCTTGGGGGTAGATGTCTCCACTAGGCACCTTACTGTTTTCTGGTTTTAAACTTCTCTCTAAGGTGGGTACTGAAGGCCAAGTTAATCGCTAGCCTGCTATATAGCTGTTTAGAAATCCTTTGGCTTGGCAGGCTCCTGTTCCACTTTTCAAAGTCTGTTTGTCTGGCTCCTTCAGACATGATCTTCTCTGAGAGGAAATGACTCTCACTTGAGAAGGTTGTAGAGGTTAACAGGGAATTTAATTAAGAGTCCTAGATACAGCAACTGTCCTGCAATGTGTCAAACCATCTGGAGTAGCTTATAATCCTACTATGTCAGATTTATTAGGCAAAACAAGATGCAGTCCTAATCTGCAGCCTGTGCATCTGTATACTTACTTTTTTGGGAGCTGTGCTTCTGGTTGGAAAGAAGCTTAGGTTAGGCATCAGCAAACATTGCTGCCCCTTTCTGTATTTTCTGATGGCAAGTCAATCAGAAATATGCTGGATAGTCCTAAAACCTACCTCCAGACCACTGCAAAAGGAAGCCCTCCTTGCTATTAATCTGACAAACATCCGCAAAATTATGCTTAAACAAATGTCCTTAGCCTGCAGTCTAACCCTACAGCTGATCTCAGTGTCTTTTACAGTGCTTAGGAATTACTATCTGTGAGTGAGATATGTCTGGGAAAGGCAACCTGCTAACACTTGTCCTAAACTGTACACAATGAACCTCTCAGGATCCAGAAACTGAGTAGACTTTAATATGAATTATGTTAAGTTTAGAGTTAGGATTTGATTTGGAGCCTGAGAATATAATGGGATATATTTGATTTTCTAAGTGACTTGTTTTTCGGGTATTTTGGTTAGTATTAAATTGAATTGTTCAATGTGAGTTTATATATTTTTTTTATCTGAGCTTACCAACTTTCACAGATACTGGATTTACAAGAAGAGGGTAGGGTTTAGGTTAGAACAGGCTGAGGGGCAGTGATGGGGCAGGCCAGCTCAGGCTGGTCCACAAATGTCTTCAGCCTGCCAGTGAGTGTTTTATAGTCTGTAGTACCAAAGTTTTGGATCTCACTTAAGTTTTTGCTTGCATGGCGCTTTTTTAATGTATAGAGACTTTAAGTCCAACCTAGGTGTTTTTATTGCTGAGATATCCCAACCTTTTTTGAACTCCTTATATTCTCTTGTTCCTTAGCAGTTTGTAGTAGGTAGTGCTAAATGCATGTGGTTAGAAATTCTTCCTGGGTGTTAAGCAAAGAAAGTGACAAAATGACACATTTAAAGTGCATATCACAAGTCTATTTTTCTGCACAAACAAATAGAAAGTGATTTTAAATTGGGAAAAATAAAAAGACAAAACAGAAAAGGGAAAAAAGTATTTCCATAAACAAAGATGCCAACTCTGTTCATCTGGGGTCACATCTTTCACCAGACAGAGCACTGCTGCTGGGCTCCCATTTTCAGAGCACTGATGGGTCTCTTCTAGGAAAAGGGTCTAGTAGGGGGTGCAATTTTAGCAGAAAGGGATATTCTTTATGAGGAGCAATCTTGCCTCATACTGTGCTCATGTCTGGTATCAGTGACTCCTCTTCACACCAGTCTCTTCTGAGATGTTTCCTCCCAGGTGCTGCAGGAGCTTGAGGTTATCTCTGGTAAGTGTTCCCATATATTGAGAGGGAAGGGACTGTTACTTCTGAAGCAAAGATAAAACCCCTGAATTGCCATAGCTTCAATGTGTAGCCTGCAGCATGCTAGAGAGGAGGGATGATAGGCAATTTTAAATCAGAGCCCATGAAGACATCTTCAAATACTTAACAAGGGAACAATGGGGTTTGGCCTACCACTGCAGCTTATAACTTAGCAGGTGGGAGCTAAAACTTGTCAAACAACTGTTTATGTCTGTTCTTGTTCAACAGCTGAGGAATTAGATGTGGAGAGGCTCAAGACGAGCTTACATGTTCCAAAAGTATTCCTTGTAACCTCACCTGTGACCTTTCTAACAGGCCAGCCACAGCATTTTCATGAGCAGACATCAGCAGAGCTGCTTAAAGCCAGCAGTAGCTCAGATTTCTTCCTTACAACTTGACAGATGCATCTCAGTATTATTTCTCATCTCATGCTACTTGCAGCTACAGGTCTTACTTGGGATACACTATGAGCACTGCAGGCCTCATCAGGAACAGCCTCTGCTTCTGCAGATCAAATCCTGTGTCAGCATAGAATGCAGAAAAGTTTGTGAGGGACTGAAATCCATTAAACTACTTCAGTTTTGCTTCTAAACATGGCATTGAAGCAAGGGTGTAAGTAAAATACAGGATTCCCAGCCTCCTAGTTATTTTCCTTGCTCCTATATTTAATATTTGTTCTCCAGTCAAACCCAACTTTTTCCATTTCCTGCCATTACATTATCCAAAATGATGGGGAAAATGCAATTATTCCACTCACTTCAGTCATGATATCTAACATTGAATGGTGTTTGGCAATCACTCCTCAGCAGAAATCATTGTCTCCCGGAAATCTGGAGTGGGATCACCAAAATACTAAACCCATGCAATCTCCCTTACATACTAAGGCCAGACTTCTCTATTTTTCCAGTGGCAAAATTAATTCCCTGAGACTTTCAGGCCCTGAGAGCACTTAACTTTAGGGGCCTGAGGGAAAGGGATACTGGAGTAAGATTCAGACTTTCTGAGGTTATTTCTTGACTGCAGAATTATGTTGAGCACCCTTCCTCTGGTCCACACAACCCCTCTCTACGCCTGAGTTCAGTAATGCTTTCAGCCTGGGCTAGCTTGTCTGTCTAAGGCTAATGGCTTAAATCACTAGCCAGGGATAGACAACACTCCACAAGGAGATGAGAGACAAAGCTTTTGGAGAACTGCTACTTCTTGAGTTCCTTCGTACAGCTTTCCGAGATAAAATAGAAAATTCCTCCCTCCATGTTTGGGAAGAGTCACAGAGCTTCAGTTTGCACACAGGTATTTTTTTTTCTTTTTTTTTCTTTTTTTTTTTTTCTTCAGAAACGCTGGCAATGAAATGCAGTACAGGATGAGTGAGAAAGCAATCATCTGAGATAGGTTTTGTAGCATGGCTGCTTCTCTACACTGGAGCTAAGTGGATTCTGGTGACCTGAATTAACTCTGTGGTGATGATTTCTCCTAAGACATTCTCTCTGGGGCTTTTCAGGGACATAATCTCCTCATCAATTCATGTTGGCTGCTCCTATGTCATACAACCAGATGCAGCATCTCTTCTGACTCAGCCTCACCTTTGTCCATTAACTCAAGGTATTCCCATAGCTTTTCTTACAATCCTCTCCCATGGTTGATAGTGTGCCAAGTGAGGTGTAAGTTCTGTTGTCCTTTCTCCCCAGCATGCTCATTATATGTTTCAGGGCCAGAAGGAATGTGCACTGCAAACATGGGCTTGCAAAGAAGTCCAGCCAGAGTGTGAAGGATTCAAAGGCAGAATTGTGTATTATCTTTTCTCTCATTATCTTCCTCCCAAAGTTGTCTAGCTAAGTCTTACAGCCTTCTTTTTCTTCATAGGATAACATACATGAAAAATCTCCAGGTGCTCACAAAGAAAGACTTTCAAGCCTCTAAGAAAAAGTAGAGCACCAGTTATGAAAAAGCTACACATCATAAGCTCCTGCTGTGGAGAGGAAGGTTGGCTTAGATTTAATATGAAATAACAATAGCTGCACTGCCTAGAGACTGCTTCAGAACCACTTGCATTTCTTTTTCTTTCCCCAAAACCTACATTTTTATATATCCAAAGTTTCTGCTCAGTCCAGCCAGAGAATGGCTACTGCTTGAAAGAGAGGAGCAAGTCTAACGGAAGGGAGACTTGTCCCAAGGAGAAAGGGCTATGAGAACCTCATTCTGCCTCCTGTACGCATTCCTAAGGGTTTAGCAAAAGGCTGGGCAACCCTGACCCAGAAAGAGGTGGCAAACCCCTTCCCTGCAGCTGGGGCATCTGCTGTGTTTGGAAGCAGTGTTTCAGGAGCAATGCTTTCTTGGTGTACTTGTGGGATCACACTGGAAAAGTGGCTGCTAGCAAAGGAGGACCACAAGCAGAAAGTAAATGGCTGGGGGGTGTATAAACCAGAGAATAGATGACATGCACACACACATGCACAGTCCCTACTAATATGCTGAATTCTTCCTTGGGAAGGCAGTGGGTTTTTTTCCTGTATGCCTGTAGTGTAGGGATTAAGTTGGAGGCTAGCCTGGGACACTCAATGAATAACCAGTTGTTTCCCCAGCTTCACCAGCAAACTGAACTCTGTATATGTGTAGTAGTGCAGATCCTCTGGGATTCTCAGAGCACTTTAGTTTTTACCAAATAGGCCCCACAATAATACCTAAGTAATTTAGTATGAAATTTTACTTGTGACTTTCTGTTTTTTTGGCCTCCACTTCCATGCTGAGAATGTCTGTAAAGGCCCTCCATTTTCCCCTCATCACAAAGCTTTCAGCAAGTTTTATGTCATGACCCATTTCTAATCTAGCCACATTTCTGTCCTAAACAAAGCAAAAAGATCATGTACAAATGCATGTTCAGTCCTGTCTCATTTTAAAGCCAACCCTACCTTCTCCTGTGCAATCCACCTTTCTACTTACAGTACCCATATCTGTTCTGTGGGACAGACGCTGCAGGGCCTTTCTTGGTGCCAACCAAACACTGCCTGAGCTTAGCTTTGACTTTGTGTATCCTCTAAAACGGATACTTCCTTCTGTAGTTCCCACAGTTGGTGATAGCCCCATCAAGTCCCCTCAAAGCCCCTCTTTGGCAAACTAATTCCAGACCATCCAGCTAGGATGACTCTGTCTTTTACCCCAGCACTGGTGACTGGAGAAACAGGCACACGTGGCCACTCAGGCACAGGCCACACTGCCCACATGTGCATGGGCAAACACCGCTGCTTACTCTGCTCTCTTGCCTTCTTTTCCATGCCCCCACAGAGGGAAGTCTGGGAGAAATGTCCCAGGTGAGGCCCCACTTGTCCTTTCACTCCCCGATGAGTATTGCTGTGTGCATGTGTGTGCGCACAGGTGAACATGTGCAGACTGGGAGGATCAGAGAACAATCTAATGGGAAAGCTGGGGCTTCTGTTCTGTATTCCCCCCTCTCACCCTCTCTTCCTGGAAAGCTTTTGCCTCCTAGTTTGCTTCCATGCAGGGTGACTCCAAAGCCCTTGGGAAAAGAAAACTACTGCTTCATGTGTGTCTCCATGTGAATTAACCCCCTCTGGAGGAGAGTTTTGATGCTGTGTATAAGTTCTTAGTCTCTCTACCGCTCGTGCCCTCTCTCCACATTCTTCCTCCTGCTGTAGCCACAGCCAGTAAGCCTTTCCAGGAAGTATCTCATCTGAGACCAAGGGGAGGCTGGGAAAGGGGATGGTGCCAAAGGGCAGTAATTTTTTGAGGTTTTTTTCTTCATTTTGCATCACTCATCCCAACGTACTTGAGCTGACATGAAAGACAAAACAAGCGCTATCTCTGAGGAGCCACAGACAGGATGGGAGGGGTACCTGCCTCAGTGATGGCCAAAACTTGGCCTCCACACATTGGCCTGCATGCCCGTTCTTGCTGCAGAGAATTTGGGCCTGGCCACCTGAAACCGAGAGGCATTGGCCGAGTTTAGAGGAGGTCCCTGCCCCACCTGTCCAGGCTCTGGGGAGCTCTGATATGGCTTAGGAGAGGGGCTGAGCTCCACCTGGAAGGGTGCTGGTGTGGCAGGGGCAGAAGAGGCCATTTCTGTTCTCCACAATGGCTCATCCAGCGTGGTGGCTGAGCGGGGCACAAGCACAGTGGGTGCCAGGCCGCTGGAGGCTGGCATGGGAGCCGGTGTGGAGAAGCGACGAATCTCCTGGGTCTTGGCTATTTTCACAGGGACCTGTTTGGCTGCCATGAAGGATGAGCTAGCCTGTGGGGTTGCCTGACCAGGAGTATTCTGAGTGCTGGGGCTTGGGGGATCCCCAAAACAGAACATGGCTGACTTTAATTGATAGGGCTGGTGGCGCATTAAATCAATGACCTTGATCCCTGATTTCTGGCCAGGTGCCTTTTTCACTTTGCTCTCTGCTTTGCTAGCCTGAGATTTGCTAGCTGCCAGGGGATAGAAAGGGGAATGCATTGGGTTGTAAGCTATTGGAGGGGGAGCCCGGATGTTGGGTGAGTATTTCCAGCATGAGGGTAGAGAAGGGGATGGAGAGGGGGTCCTGGGCTTGTGCTCTTGCTTCGGTGTTGTTTCCACCACAAATTTGTCCATGCGGCTCTGACGTTTGGCAAAGAGCTCTGCCCCCTTGCCTTTAAGCTGAGGCATGTCCTGCGCCCCATTTACTAATCCAGCATCTTGCTGAGGCTTGGGGGCCACTGGAGGTGGGGTCTTGAACTTGCGGCCTGAGGACTGCATGAAGTTGCAGGCCTCAGCACCCAGGCTGAGGAAGTCCTCCTCAGGCCCAGACTCAAAGCCTGCCCCAGGGTGGTCACCTTTTGGTTTCTCATCCAGGTTCTGCACCAGAGACAGGAGCTCAGGGTTGGGTGAATTCTTCTTCTTCTCCTCAATTTTACTAAACATGGGTTTCTTGTTGCCCCGTCGGCGAGCCTCCTGCAGGATGCCTGTGCGGGGAGCTGGCACAGAAATCCTCTGCTCCCTGGAGGTTAAGGGATCCGAAGGAGGTCGTGGCATTGTTGGAGTGATAGCAGGAGAAGGCTGTTTTGGCAGAGGGGAGCTGCTTCTCATGTGCTGTGATGGTGCTGGACTAATATACAATGAAGAAGAGGCTGTTCCTGGGACTCGTGGCTGGGATGCTGTGGAGGCCATATCCCCTCCTGGCTTTGAGGGATTTGACAGAAAGATAGAGGTGGTGGATGTCCGGGCAGTGTTGGCAGAAGGCTTGATCTCTGAAGTGCTTCCTCCCCCTTTTGGCTGTGACTCCAGTGGTGATGTTGGTCTTCCTGGTGCAGGAATATACAGAGATGTGGAGGAGCTCACTGGACCACGTTGTGTTGGCACTGGTGTTCCTGGAACCAGAGGTGAGAAAGGGGGAGCCCCTGTGCTTTGCCCACTCAGACTTTCAGTGGGTTTTTTGGGTGCAGACGGCCTAAAGATGACAGAAGATGTTGCTGGACGTTGGCCAGAAAAGCCAGGAGTAAAGGGCCGTGCAGACCTGTTGAACATGCTTGTTGAACTTGCAGAGAAGGGGTCGGGGGTGCTTGGGGGAGGTGGGAAGAAAGTGGGGCTGGAGGCAGTCAGGAGCTGAGTGGGGATGGTGGCTGGCTGCTTGCTGGGCATTTGCACACCTTCCAGATGGATGCTGAGGGGCACGATGTCTGTCTTGTCTGGCACAGGCATATCTCCGTTCACTGTGCCCTGCTTTGGCTGGGCAGCCGGGGCAAGCTCTGGACTCTTCTGCACCGGAGTTTTCTCGACTGTGTACTTCCCAGCCCGTTCCCTCTGCTGCTCAAATAATCGTGCTCCTTTACCTGAGGCCTCAGTCAAACCTTTTTGCTTCTCCTCCTTCTGTTCAGAGTCAGATTTGGATTTTTCAATGTCTAGGTAAGTGTTGTCCCAGTCTGAGTGATTAGTTAGGCTTCGGGCATCAGAGAAACCTTCCTCATCAAATTCAGATTCGCTAGTTGGAAAAACTCCGTCTTCCTCCTCGTAGGAGCGGTCTTCATCAACACTCCCAAAACTCACCAATGTATACTTCTTAGCCCTCTGCCTGCGTTTCTTAAACATCAGCACCCCCTTGGAGTGGGGGTTGGGTGCATCTGTCAGCAGGGATGCAATGGTTCTGCACTTGGTTTTAGCTTCTTTCACGTTCTTCTCCTGGATGCTTTCGTGGCGGTGGAGCTCTGAAAAAGATAGAAAGAGGCAGTCTCAGAGATCAGAAAAGGTTGGGTGGGCAAAGGTGGACAGTGAAATGGCTACAGGTGTTCTAGTGCACATAAGAACAAGCACACCCCTTGCCCTTCTTTTTCATTCCACTTTTGATGATGATGGTTTCTTTATAAACTGTTGATAGAAAATCAGGAGCAGTTTTCTCCTTCCATGTGTAAAACAATAGAAGTTGATGCAAGTGTAGGGAGGGAACTCCTCCCACTCTGATGGCTGGTCTAAGTTTCCTATCAGACCTGGGATTTCCTTTTTCTGAAGCATGTGGCTGAGAGTCCCTGACATTTTCACAGTGTTTGTCCTTGCTTGTGGAAATATTTACCATTTATTTGTCACCCTGAAGGTAGAGCCCTGCTTTCTGTAGATGCTCCTCCTACCATACAGAAGATTACATGAGTGCAAAAGGAGAGGTGCTCTGCAGGCACAGTAGGGCTGCTGCTGATCTGAGCCCTGCAATGTCAGCTACAGTCAGTGCTGTGCAGTAGCACTGTGTGTGGGACTGTTTGCTGCTCTGCAGCAGCCCTGCTGCTGCAGGAGGCAAAGGAAGCATGATTTCCTCCTTCCTGCAGTCCCTTTCCTGTGCTCCATGCCTGGCAAGGAAGAAGAGTATTTGCTCCTGAGCAAGAATCCCAGATCCCCGCAACAGATCAGCCAGACCAGAAGGAAATCCACTTAGACAGGCTTGCTTGGAAAAGACAACACCCGTTGGGACACTGGCATGAAAGTGTGGGATAAAACTGCTCAGTAAAGCTCCAGGGAGGAATGTTGTGTCCTCTGTCTTTGTGTGCAGGGAAAGCAGGTGGTGAACAAGATTCAATAGTAAAACCAAACTTGTCTGCTCTAAGGAAAGTATGGACATGCTTTGAATCACTGTTGAAGTGATAGAAGTCAGCACTAACCTTGCACAGAAAAAAAGCCCCACATACTTAAACCACAGACTGATTTGTGATGTCTTTCATTTCACCCTTTTCCATTCTTTTCCCCAGCATGACAGTAAAGTGAAACAACCATCCAATGTATGCATCTAATAATTTGTCCAAAGAACCCACTTTGTCCAGCTCTGACATTCCCAAGAGAGATGTAATAAATTATGGTCTGCTGAAGGGAGAGGAGAGGAGAACTGCAAGGCAGTGCTGAGGGATAGTGTTAGCTCAAGAGATGATGGAAACTGCTTAGTCCTCTCAGGATCTCACTTCGGATCATTTTATCACAAAGCATTCATTCAATGTGAACATGTTAACGTGGCATAGTCACCTGCAGTGAGGGACAAGGAGCTTAGTTAAGAAGTTTCCTGAGGGCTGAAGTCTCCCAAAACCTTTATGGGCTACACAATTGTGTCAAGTGTCATCATTCCATACTGCATCAGTGTAACCACAGCAGAAAGAGCTTCCCTCTCCCACCCCATGCTGAAAATAAAGTGTTGATTTGAAAAGCAGTCGTCCTTCCAGGAAGGTCTCAAAGTTTGTAGCCATTCCATAGCTCATGTTGCTGCTTTGGGATTTCAGCAAGGGGACTTCTGTGATTTGAGATCACTTCATGTGGCTGCACAGTCCATTCCTCTCCTTTGCTCCTTTCTCACAGAACTAGAAACAGGAAAAGCACTGCTGAAATGGCTCATTATTTGTACTTGCATTTGCAAAGTGAAGGCTCTTTGCAAAACTTTCCTTACAGAATGACTCCGCCTTGCTGAACCAAGACTGAAGTTGTGTCTAGGTTTTTGTGTAGATTTAGTATTCTACAGGGAAGTCACAGACTTGCCCTCAAAGACCTGCTCTCATGATGGAAACAAGCTACAGTCTCTGAAGGTCTGCCCACTTCACTTACAAATCTGCATGTCTGTGTCTCTAGGGGTTGTTGACAATGGAGAAAATAAGGGAATTTGCTTCAAACAGCCTTACAAGCTACTACACCTCACCTGGAGGTATTTTGCTTTTAAATTTACAAGGAGAAAGAGCAGCACCACAGAATCTCAGTCAAGTGCAGAATATGTAAACTGGCCTGAGTGACTCACAGGAGGATTTCTAGCATCAGGATTTCTAGCAACAGATAGGGAATGACACCATTCAGTGATGTCTGCACAGCCCTTTCTGACAGCAGACTACCATAGAAGTACCAGCTTTAAAGTCTGGGCTAGCAAATACTGTCAGAGAAAATGTAACAGAAGATGGTCTTGGCTTTAACTCCACCAGCATGTAGTCCTGGCTCTGCATTAGGATCCATGTATAACTTCCCTAGAAAGCTGCTCTGAACTGTCCTGTGCCCTGAAGGAACTGGGAAAGACCCTCTGGGATCTGCTTCTCACCTCCCTCTTTTCTTCTTCCTACCTTTCTCCTCATCCAAGGCTAAAGCACATGACTAATTACACCAGTCCTCCCAACAGAAAAATGGTCATGCTATTTGAGCTACAATCTTTAAAAAGCTTTAAAAAGCTTTTTTTTAAAAAAAAGCTTAAAAAGCTTTAAAAACTGTTTAAAAAAACAGTTTAAGAAAAATCAGGAAAAGAAATTTTCCTAAGATGACTTGTGGAATGTAAAGAGCAAGAATTAAATCAGAATAGGCAAAAGAATAGGGTAAGGAGAGTAGACTTAAAAGAAGGATAGGAAAGGAAAGAAGGAAGAGAGAAGAGAAAAAGGAAAGGAAAAGAAAAGAAAAAAAAAAAGGAGACATTTGTACCTGCATAAGGCTGATCCAAGCTTGAGAAAGTAGAGTCCAGACCTGGAGAACTGGGCATGTCACAAAGCCCGTTTAATTCACAACTCCCCATAAACAGAAAGAGAATGAGAGAGGAGCAAAGCAGTCCCCTTCTGGAGCAGAACCAAAACTCTGAGATGTCCAAGGTCTTTGCTATCAGTCCACAAGCCTTTTAAAGCCTCTCTTTTGTCTCGTAGGCATTGCTGCTGAAAGCCATGAGGTCACTTTGTCTATTTTTGGCTTCATAGCTTCATCACTGAACAGTGTGATGGACATTGTCACCTGGCACTTTAGCACCCTTATTCTTTCCCCTGTACTCCCTGTACTCCCTGTAAAGAGAAACTCCTCTTTTTTATTTTTAAATAAGAAAATATACTATATATTATCACAAATTCTGTGGTGCAAGTTTCAGGTTAGAAATGTGCAAGCTTCAAGTTAGTGTTACCAATGTCTAAATGTCCAGCATTTCTGTGCCAAAGAGCCCTTCAAAGAGATGAAACGGTGTGTATATCCAATATAGAGAGGCAGAAGAAACCTGCACAGGAAGAAAATAACTTTCCTTGCCTGAAACTCTCAGAGAGCATTTAGCTCAGGTAAAGAGGAAGAAAAGAGAGAGCAGAGGCTTTCCTGTGTATATCAATTTTCTTCTATGCCTGAGGAGAACCAGTCATGATTCAGATTTCTGTATGTACATGACTGAGGAACATTTAACAGAGGAGCATTAGGATCCTGGATTCATGCAGTGAAGTTGTTTAGCTGAATTAAAACACCAGAGGCTGTTACCTACACTGAAAAAAGCATGGCTGTGTGCAGAAAGGGTGATGGAGTGTTTGGAAACCAGGGAGTGGTGTTTTGGCAGCACCATTCAGAGATCCAGCACTGGAGACTGAGAGGTGTGGAAAAATGAGATGCTGATAGTGAGAACTGTGGTGGATGGGAGGAGAATAGATGGTGCTGGAAGTCTGCAAATCTCTGCAGCTGTGGCCTGCTCAGCATCACTTCACACTTTGCTAGGTCCTGTCTTACCGCTCCTTGCTGTACTCTAGCAATAGCTCCTGTGAGACAATCCCAGAGCCATGGGCAAGGGACACTCTCCCATGATTCTCCTACCCAGCAGCCCCAGCCTTAACAATTCTGTAGCCTTGGCAGACCATCTCCAATGTTAGAGTCTGGAAAAATGAAGGTCTGACCACACATGCTGAAATCCAGCAGCCATCACTTCACACCAAGAGGACAACCCCCACAAGGGAACACTGCTGTAGAGATGTCTCATACAGATGGTTCTTAGAGCAAGAACAATGAATGTGGTTCAGTCTCTTCTTTGATGAATAATTACACATATAGGGATATATGTCTCTTTGGGGAAATCCTGTAATATTGATACATGCCACTGGAATGAAAATACAGCTCTGTCTCTTGTAAGAACATTCAAATGGAATGGATTAAAGAGTAAAAGGAAGGGTTATAAAAATCTCATAAATTGTGTTGGTGTGGTGAATGATTTCTATAGAAAACTTTTTGTTAATTTCTAAAGCACTTATTTCATGTATACACTGAATTCTGTTGGAAAAAATACACAAAATGGAAAAATATCTATTAAGCAAAGCCTATGAAGATTTTCCTCTTAAGTAAATTTCATTGATGTGACATGATTTTTGTTACTAATTACAGTAAAAAGAAGTGTAAAAAGTATAAATATTTTCAAGATCAGGCCTTATTAAAAGAAAGCATTTTAATGTATGCCCAGGCAAGCTACTAAGCAAGCAGGCTTACATGAGGTTAGATACTGTTCATGTTCTCTAGGAAACAAACAATGATAAATTTTATTACAGAGATCAAATTCTAGAAAAGCCATTACTATAGAAAATAAGGTGCTCTGCTGCTTCCAGAGATAAAGAACCTGTTCCTCTGATGAAATGCTACTTGTCAACTGCTTTTTTCAGATGGGGTCACCTCGAATTTTGTTCTTCCAGCTATTTATGTTAGACAAAGTCATTTTTCCATGGCTAATGTTGCAAATATCTCGGTAAGTCATTAGAGGCTACAGACATCTCATACTTTACATACCTGAGATCCTTTCAAAATAAGATTTAGATGGGTTATATTGACCTTCTAAGAATTACCCTGTTGAAAGTTTCAACCTTTAAAGCTTTGATCAGTATTTAAATTGCAAGCAGTTAAGCAGAGGGGTATATATTCTTTCACTTCAAAGTAAAGGTAAAACTCTTGGGATATGAAATATTTGTCGTTCTTGGATATTTGCACATTT